AGGTCACCATCAAGCCGGTCCTTGCCACTAGGCTTATTTCAACTTTGGCAGCTGCCAAGTCTTTGCCCTGCTCCACCTTCACTCTTCTCTTTTCCCAACCAGCACTCAGAAGGCCTGAGGAAAGCTTCCCACCCACATGAAGCATTAACAGAAGCTTCTAGAACCTTCAGCTTTTCCTTTCAGGCCTGCTATCTTTGCAGATGCAGTTGCTCTTATTGAGAGAGGATCCAATCCATACTATTTACCCCAGTTCCAGGCCCTGCCTGCTCCAGAAAGGCAAGAGATGGTATGAAATTACCCCAGGCCCAGCTGTGCTGGGGACCCTGGAAGAGAGGAGGTGGGAGGCCTTTCTGGCTTTCTGAGAGGCCCAAGCACCACTCCACATCAGGCCCAGTGGTCCTGCCCATTTGACTACCTTTATTTGGCACCCAGTAGATGTGCCCTCTTGGTGACTTGAGGGGAGCTGAGTCTCCCGGAACTGCTGGCACCCTCAGTGACCAGGGTCCTTCGGAAGATGCCTCTTCTCTCTTGCATGTGACCACTTTGAAATACCACCCTCAGCAGGAGGGTTGGGTGGTGGGAAGGTCATCTCTGAAGGGACAAAGTGTGGGCAGCTGTTGTCCAGGCTCTCCAGTCAAGAATGTCACCTTCACCCTAGAAAAGATCTTGAAACCTTGACTCTTCACACTTTCCTCTTTCCCCTTTCCTCTGCTTTTCATGCCTCACCACTACCAGTGTTTGTCTCTGGCTGTCCTTTCTCCTTTCCTTTACTTCTGAAACTCAAACCCCTGTCCCTCAAATTGGAGCCTGGCTGTCTTCATGTCTGTCTTGATATCCCCTGGAGGAAAGGAAGTAAATACTGTTTGGGTCTTGCAAATGCACAATATTGTCCCTCACTCTCCCAAGTTGCTACAATCCCATTGTACAGATGAGAAAGCTGAGGTATAGAGTTGGGGAAATGTTTTAAGCCCAGGATTGTATGGTCAGGTTCCAGTCATGCCCGTTCATCAGAAGGGCTGAGGCCCCAGGCCACTTCAGTACTCTAGAGGCCCTGCTCAGTTCTCCTCATGAACTTCAGAAGTTAGTGGGCCTCAGTGTGCATGCCCCTCCTCAGGTTGTTTGTTTAGACAGGATCTTCCTGTAGCCCCAGCTGGGCTGGAACTCACTATGTAGACCAGACTGACCTCGATCTCACAGAGATCTGCCTGCCTCTGCCTGATACTGAAGGTGCTGGGACTAAAATGCTGGGATTAAAGGTGTGCGCCATCTCTTGGAGGCTGTAGCCCAGTTAGCAGCTCCTCCGCGCCCTCAGGCTCTGGCCTACTTTCTGTGGAACCCATTCTGACCCGTAGCAAAAACCTGGAGCAGGCTTTTTTTTTTTTTTTTTAAATTTTATAGCGGCTCCAGAGAGAAAGGTGCTTGGCGCGGCGGGGCTCTACCTGCTGAGCGGGAATCCAGTTCCTAACCGCTGGCGCCCCTCGAGGGGAGGGGCGAGGGCGGAGGTGGTTCTGCGGCGGCATCTGTCCCAGGCGGGCGGGAAGCTGCTGCATTAAATTGTAAAATCGATTTATTGACCGGCAGGTGCGAGCAGCGGCAGATGGAGAGCAGCGCTGCCGGGCCGCGTCTGCGGGGAGCGGCGGCATCGATCCTGGCCCCCCTTGGAAACCGTCCGTCCTGGGCCTGTCGGTTCACTACCAAATGCCGGGCCAAGGTTCGAGAAACTGCGGCGCTGGAGTGGCTAGGGAGCTCGACTCCCTTCCCCTACCCCCTCCTGGCCACAGGGCCCGAGCTACCCCCCCCCATGCCTGGCAGACTCTGCCAGCCCCACTGCCCCAGTTGGCACGCGGCGGGCCAGCCTGACGCGTGGCAGCGCCCTGCGGCAGATGAGGCACGCGCCGGCCTCATTTCAATGTGAATGGATCGAATGAAGCAGCCATGTGGCAGCAACAGTTTGCAAATCTCCCCGCCTTCTGTGCAGCTCCCGGCCACCGCTCTCCGCACGTGGCCCCTTCTCCGCAGCGACCGCACCGGTGCCTCTCCCGGCTTAAGCGCCCCTCCCCAGCCAGGCCTGCTTCCCCGCCCCCAGGCTGGTCTGCAGACCCCACCACGCTTCTACCCGGGGGCAGTGTGCCGAGTCCAGACCGCTGTCCCCTGGGAAGGATGACGGGCGGGGGAGAGGACGGGTAAAACCGCGCTGGAGGTCTCGGAACTGCGCCGGTGGCCCTGGGGAGCCTTTGCAGGCTTCCAGGTGGGAAGAATGCCTGATGCTCTACGGGCTCCCGCGGCATCTCAATAACCTGTGGCCTGTTTAGGGACAAGGCCTAAAGCCAACTTTGGCGTTTTCTGGCTCCAGGGCTGATTCTGTCCCATAGGGAAAACTGAGAAGCGGCATGCACTGTGGCCAAGAGGAGGGGACAGTAGAAGCAGACCTCCAGGGAGGGAGGCTGTGGGCCTTGCCTGGCCTCCACTCTGGTCAGGCTTCAGTCGTCGGGCGGTACTGAGGATGAGGTGAAGTTAAAGAGCCATGGACCCAAGGGAGTGCTGGCTGGCTATCCAGAGTCAGAGTCAGATGGCTTCACTAGAGACTAGGGCCACAGGGATCTGCTAGCCTCCTATGGATAGCCTCACAACCTTCCATTCCTTTGCCTTCCTTCTGCCTGAGAATCAGGTGCTTCTTCCCACAAGTGGTGGGTGGGAGAAGAGAGGGGCTCCAGCTGTGTGGCCTGGAGAAACACTGGGGCCCTACCACTTGGATTGCACACAGTGTAAGTTCCTCCTGCTTAGCAAGTGTGAGCAAAGGTTGATCCCAGCAGATGGGAACTCTAGTAGGTGTCCAGGCCCAAGGGTGGTGTCCTGGCCAGGTAATGAAGTTTTGGGATCCTGCAAATAGATGCTTCTTGTAAGAAGGAAAATTTAATATTTTTCTCCCCCGCTTTCTAGATTGCTGGCTTGCATAGTTCATTTGTGAGGAAAACGATGATTCCCAACTTTTGTTTGATCCTCAACTATTTGTAAAGTACTTTTGGCACAATAGTGTGTGGGAGGGTAGAACATGTTTCAGTTCTCCCAATAGTAATAGAAATACCTCGTGTGGGAATAGATGTCTCCCTTGATGGTCAGCAAGTGCCAGCATCAAAAACAGACAGACAGACAAAAAAAAAAAGCATGTTTTTATGAATTTCCAGGCGGGGATTTGGGGACCAGAGCTGACAGAGCTAGGTGGGGCTGCATGCCAGCTCCGAGGAGAGTTAGATACCCTTTGGCATCCTAGGCAGGTCTAGGGATTCGTAGAGAATGCCTGGAGAAAGGATTTGGAAGCCCACTTGCCCCGATCGCCGAGAGGTACGCTCCGGGCTCCCCCTCCCTCGGGCCTGGGACTCCGCCCGCTCATAACCTACATTAACTCTCCAGCGCAGCCTGGGCCCATCTGCCGGCCCCCGCCCCACCTCGTTTCCCCACGCCAGCCTGCTCGTGCCAGATGGTGGCTGGGAGGGGTGGCCGTGCGTGGGGGACCCCGGAGCCCGTCTCCCCACCTCGCCCTACCCCCAACCCACGCTCGTAACCTCCTGTTTCTCCCACACCCGTACAATCCTCCATCACCACCATCCAAGTCAAAAAATCAGACCAAGCTCGGCATTGGCAGCTGTTGGGCTCCGCTTCCCCCACCGCGGCCTCACTGGTCCCGGAGCAGCGTCCCCCTCCCCCCGCACTGATCTTATCGTCCGACGACAGCCATCATCACGCGTGCGAGCTGACAGCTGAAGCCACAGGGCCCCCGCCGCCCTCAGCATAGCAGAGAGAGTTCCCTAACACCCCAGAGACTGGGAGAAGCCGGCCTTCCCGGGTCTGCAGCCTCCGGGGAGCACCTCGGGTTCTGGGAAAGCAGCTGCACTATTTGCGCTCGGAGAAGTGAGGCCACCCGGGAGAGGCGCGCGTGCGACGTGGGTGAAGCCGCCCGAAACTCAAACAACCCCGTGCCTTCCTACATCCTGCCCTATGCAGAGAGAACTGGGCCTGCAGAGCCTCAGCCCCTCCACCCGGCCCCTCCAGTGGCCCGATGCAACTCTGGAATCTGGACAGTTCTACATCACTCCAGCGGAGCTAGGGGACGCGGGTGGGGGAGCCAGGATGTGCGATGGAGGCCAAGCGCGACCCAGGTGAGGGAAGCACTGTGGGGGAGGGGCCAGAACCTCATTACCATACAGCTGAGGACGTGCCCCCCCATCCGACCTTGGGGACCACACCTCCCACCCCCTTTCGGACCACGCGTCCAGGCGCTGGCACGAGCCAGGCGGTGGTGGGGGTGGGGGGCAGAAGAGAGAAGGCACGCGCTGGGCACGCCCCGTTGCTACAGAGGGACACGCCCACCAGGTGCAGGGAGGGTGATCAGAGTCTTAGACGCTTGGCCTCTTGCCTTGCTCGGAATGGCCACGGAAAGGTTAACGCGTCCGCTGGCTTCTCAGTTGTGTTAGGGACGCGTGGTTGGTGGGCACTCATAGGTTGGAGGACAGTGAGGCGAGGAAGGCCTGGGCAGAAAGAGAAGATCAGAGTTCCCTGGCACTGGTTTTCGTTTTCCTGGTTTAAGTTCTTCCCACCTGCTGGAGGACTATAGGTAGCCAGTACCCGCAGCGGATGCACCGCCTACGGGGACTCCCTAAGAGTCTCCGCCCCCCGGGGCCATTCGGGAGCCACCTTCTCACCTCCCGCCTCATCCCTGGGCCACCCTCCTATCCTCTGGTGGCGAGGGTCTCAGCCTTTAAGCAGACGATCACTGAGGACTGGACGCCTGGCGCACGCAGAGCTGGGGGCCCAGGGGTTGGGAGAGGGGCGGGGACCTGCGCTCTACTGGCTGGCAGGCAGGGGGAGCGGCGGGGGCGGAGGCCCCCTCCGGTCGCTGCTGGGACTGGAGGGGAGGGGAGAGTGACCATGAGTCTGTCTGACTGACAGGCAGCTAAGAGAGGAGCCAATATATATAAGAAAGGCTCCCGAGCCAGCAGGTTTCAGTAGCGGCTGCTCGCCGGCCAGGAGCTCAAGGCCGAGAGCCGCAGCCAAAGCCTCTTGGGCGCAGTGTACCCCGGCACCAAGTCCGCTCGAGGCCCCAGGATTAGCCCGAGGACACGTCCTTAGAGTAGCCACCGCCCAGTCGCCCTCACCTGGATTACCTACGGAGGCATCAGCAGAGAAGATAGCGAGAGGGCGACGTGGGAGCAGCTTCCCGGGAGCACCAGCTTTGCAGCTTTGCACCCGGCTGGCTCGAGGACGTGTGGGAAAGCGGCATCCAAAACCAGCAAATCCAGGGCCTGCTGGTGGAGAAAGCGACACCCCCGGGGATGCCGGCTGCGTCCCGGAGCGCCTCTCGCTGGGCGCTGCTACTGCTGGCGGTACTTTGGCTGCAGGTAACGTCCCGCTCCCTCCGCCCCCTTCGGCCGCGCTCCGGGCTTGAGCTCTGGTGCCAGCTGAGCCTGACCGCTCCCCTCCCTCCTTCTCTCGGTCCTTGTGCAACAGCGCGCGGCGGGCTCCGGCATCTTCCAGTTGCAGCTGCAGGAGTTCGCCAACGAGCGTGGTGTAATGGCCAGTGGGCAGCCGTGCGAGCCCCGCTGCCGGACTTTCTTCCGCGTCTGCCTTATGCACTTCCAGACAGTTGTCTCGCCCGGGCCCTGCACCTTCGGCAGCGTCTCTACGCCGGTATTGGGCACCAACTCCTTTGCCGTCAGGGACGACAGTAGTGGTGGTGGTCGCAACCCTCTCCAACTGCCCTTCAATTTCACCTGGCCGGTAAGTACAGCCTGGGTGCACTGGGAGATCTCCAAAGGTAAAAAGAAGGAGCGCCCCAACCAGAAGTATCCCCCCCCCCCGCCCAGCATCCCCCTCCAAAAGCCCAGGGTCGCTTTCTCTCCTGCCCTTCTTTTAGGATTCTCTCCAGGGACCATTCAGGAGGGGCTCCTCACCGGTTTCTGTCTTCCCAGTCCCCCCCCTCCCCCAGTTCTTAGGACACGAGTTTCATTACCAATACCCTGACAGGCGTCTCCCCCACCCCCATGGCTCTCACACCCCATCCCTTCATCCCTTCCCTGCTTTCTCCGCTCACGCGCTGCTCTGCCCGAACACCAGTTATGTTGACCCGGGCTCAGTAACTATATCCTTCAATTAGATTAATTAAACAGGCTGCTAGGAGGCACCCCCTTCTCTCCCTCCTCATATCGTTATCGCTCTGTCCCCCACCCCGTTTCCCAGGGTACCTTTTCACTCATCATCGAAGCTTGGCACGCGCCAGGAGACGACCTGCGGCCAGGTGAGTACTCACTCCTCAGCCACAGGGGGGCGACACCACGCAGCACCGAAAGAGTTAACCTGTTAGAGGCGGGGGAAAAGCGGGGCTGGGGGTTGGGGGCAGGACGCTCGGCTTGGCCGGAGCTGCGCCCCGCGCTGGACGTTCGGATTCCGCTCGCTGCCTGGACTCAGAGCACAATTGCGTTTCCTGCGGGTTATTTTTGGCGTGGGAACGCGGGGAGTACGGCGGTGAGAAAGGCCGAGGCTGCCAGCGCTGCTGACGGGCCCCTTCCTGTATTTTACACCTTTTGCGAATTCCGCTCCTTTGGAAGGGAATAATGGCTTTGGGATGTTGTTCTGACACAGAGGAAAAGGATATTTCAGCAGCACAACAATTCTCACTTTGAAAAGGAAAAAGAAAACCATTACCCACCTCTGGGGCAGAACCCCTGAATCGGCACCAAAGAACCCCTTGCTCTCGATTCTCTAACTCAAAAGCTTTTCTCCCCCTTCCTTTTAATTTTTTTTTCCATTTTGACCTCTTTTCCTCTTTCCCTTCCATATCTGCCTCCACAACCCTGGGATATCTTAACATCCTTCTATTGTCCCCTTTTTGAATGCTATCAAGCCCCCTGTACATGCACACATCCAGGGTAAAGACTCTCGGGACCTTCTGGCCTGTGCTTGCTGGCAGGTGGGGGTCATCTGGATGACTAGTCAGAGTTGTTGGCTGTCCACCATAGTCATGGCTAGAGAGGCATTGGGCAGCAGTCATGGGCACTCTCCAGGTCAAAATGCCTTTCTTTGACCTGACCCTCTGTCTCTGCAGAGGCCTTGCCACCAGATGCACTCATCAGCAAGATCACCATCCAGCGCTCCCTTGCCGTGGGTCAGAATTGGTTAGGGGAAGAGCAAAACAGCTCCCTCACGAGGCTGCGCTACTCTTACCGGGTCATCTGCAGTGACAACTACTATGGAGACAGCTGTTCTCGTCTGTGCAAGAAGCGAAATGACCACTTCGGCCACTACGTGTGCCAACCAGATGGCAGCCTGTCCTGCCTGCCTGGTTGGACTGGGGAATACTGCGATCAGCGTAAGCAGCCAAGCCCCGCCCCCCACCTGAAGGAGGGGAGGGCATCCCCCAAGAAAGTACTGTGGAGTTGGCTAAGCCACAGCCTGCCTCTCTCACAGAGTGGGTTCTGTGCTGCCTATTAGTTGAGCCTCTGGGCCACTGGGGGATGCTGAGCTGGTTTGGTACTGAGAACATCCTCTCTTCCTGTGTGCCTCCCTATCATGCCTCAGGCCACAAGGATCCCTACACTGCTTGCCCTCCAGCATGATTCTCCCCTTACCCCCTTGCTACTGTTTCCCTTTAAAATAGCCTTGGCTCCTCTTGGAGGCCAGGAGTGAGAAGTGAGCCCAGGGTAGCAGGAAGGGAGAGTGGGGTTATCAGAGTCCATGGTACCTCAACCTCATCCAGCCCTGTTTCTTTTCCTTAGCTATCTGTCTTTCTGGCTGTCATGAACAGAATGGCTACTGCAGCAAGCCAGCAGAGTGCCTGTGAGTAGGGGACAGAAAGTGCAGGGGTGGGGTGGGGAGGGGTGGGGGAGTTGGGGGTGAAAGGCATGCTCCCTTGTGGCCAGGCCTCCCACCTCACCATCAGCCTCTTTTCTGTCCCACAGCTGCCGCCCGGGTTGGCAGGGCCCCCTGTGCAATGAATGTACCCCTCACAATGGCTGTCGCCATGGCACCTGCAGCATCCCTTGGCAGTGTACCTGTGACGAGGGCTGGGGTGGCCTGTTCTGTGACCAAGGTAAGGACAGGAGAGATAGGGCAGTGGCTTAAACCAGAGATGGTGGTTGGTGATTGTGATAGTGGTTGGTGATTGCTAACCTGATTTTCCCATTACTCTTCAAGGATCTTGGGGTGCGTGTGTGTGTGTGTGTGTGTGTGTGTGTGTGTGTGTGTGTGTTCCTGGGGATGGAACCCAGGGTGTCAACACATACTAGGCAAGCACTCTACCAGTGAGACATGCCCAGTTCAGTCTTGGGACTTTTAAAGGTTCTTTACAACTGGCCTAGAATGAAATGGTGGGACACTCTTCTCCAGGTACTGGGGAGCCAGGGTGACTAACAAAGCCCAGGGATGACAACTTGGCAGCCTAAAGCTTATGCTCATAAATTCTAGCAAGGCCAAAGAGAAAGGGATGCTGAACTCAGTTCCTCTTTCTGCCTTGTAGTTACCTATTAACCCCCTGAGTGTTTGCTTACCTTCCAGGGCTGTTTGAGCAGCTCTCCCCTAAACAGCTGTCTGGTGGGGTGTGCCCACTGGCTGCCCTGGGCTGTGGCCAACCTGGGCCTCTGGGTGGAGGGAGCAACATCTAACCGCCTTTTCAGTGTGGGCACAGCCACCTGCCTTTCTACAGTGGCACTTGCCAGACAGCTGCCTGAGTGCGCAGTCTCTACCTGGTATTTGGGGGTTGTCACTCTTCTGCCTACACAGGAGTCTTTGAGCCCTATGCTTGAGAGAGGGAGCCTTTTATTCTATATCCTAGAGGCCACCTTTGGCCTCCCATTTTCAGGGTCAAGCAGTGTGCCTGCTGCCATGGAGACACCACACCAGGCTTGAGGAGAATGGGGAGGGGGGCAAAGACTTGCCTAGGCCTTGATTTGCTGCCAGTAAGGGCATGGAATTCAGTCCCTGTATGGAGAGAGAGAGAGAGAGAGAGAGAGAGAGAGAGAGAGAGAGAGAGAATTTCCCTCTTTTTCTCTGCCTCCCCAACAACCCCTTCCCCCCTCACAGGCTCACACACCTGGTTCCTTACTCTTTCCCTTTCCAGTGTCCACATTTGCTCCCAGGTGTTACAGTCATATACTCATCATATGCAAACACAGCCCTTACAGTCTCTGTATTTGCTCTGTCTGGTTCTCCCTCCTCTCCTTCTCCAATAAGAAAACAAATACATATCGTTCAAAATATGCTTTTAACACCTCCTCCTTTAGAAAATGCCTGGTCCTGCCCTGTGGTAGCTCTCACCTCCTTGCTACCATTTCCACTTGTTGATATTTTATTCCCCCTTCTAAGTCCTTCCAGGTCTGTCCCTCCTCCATGGAGCCTTTTTTGACTTCCTCATTGACTAGGAGCCTTCCTGTCCCCTCCTCCTCCTCTTCACCCTACTCTAACTGGCAGTGTTTGTGAGCCTACCTGGCAGGACATTGGTCAATTGCATTTTTTCCAACCTTGGTTATATTTGTATAGTTCATATGTGGCTTCAGGTCCTTCAACATTCATGGTTTTGTTGGCAGGGGGAAGAGGGATATTTGGGCCTGGAAGACTTAGAGTTGAAGCCTCTTTGGGCCAAACACAAGATGACCTTGCATGTCAAGGAGCCTGGAGGTGGGAATGTTCCCACTCAGCTGGTTGTTTCCTGTCTCCACAGATCTCAACTACTGCACACACCACTCCCCATGCAAGAATGGAGCAACGTGCTCCAACAGCGGGCAGCGGAGCTACACCTGCACCTGTCGCCCAGGCTACACTGGCGTGGACTGTGAGCTAGAACTCAGCGAGTGTGACAGTAACCCCTGTCGCAATGGAGGGAGCTGTAAGGTGAGGCCCAGAGGATCCGGCACAGCCCTTGGATGTGCAGTTATGGATAGACGCTGTAAAGGTTTCCAAAGGAGGGTCATAGGCCACCCTAGCCAGGCCAGTAGAGGCTAGCTCCTCGGCATGCATCCTTGTTCCCCAGAGTCTGATTTTGGTTGATGGTCTCTCTCCAGGACCAGGAGAATGGCTACCACTGCCTGTGTCCCCCCAGCTACTATGGCCAGCACTGTGAACACAGTACTTTGACCTGTGCTGACTCACCCTGCTTCAATGGGGGATCTTGCCGGGAGCGCAACCAAGGGGCCAGTTATGCCTGTGAATGCCCCCCTAACTTCACTGGCTCCAACTGTGAGAAAAAAGTGGACAGGTGCACCAGCAACCCATGTGCCAATGGTGAGTTATTTCTGATACCTTACTAACCTGGTGAACTGGCCCTGGGACTAGAGTGTCTGAGAGAGAGAGAGTCTGATCTGTTATCTGGCAGACTGAGGTGGGCTCCCCGTTGCTCTGGTGGGTGAAGAGCTTGCCTAATCTAGTGGCGGGGTTTTGGAGAAGGAGCAGTTCAGCAGCAGGCCTTAGGTGAGGGATAATGTCCATTCTGTACGATTTCCATTTTTATTTCCATGGCAGAGCTCTGGCCTGGCTAGGGTAGCCTATGACCCTCCTTCGGAAACTCTGACTTACAAAAAAGGATGTTGGAACCTTCATGTCCCTCTGGAAAGAGAGGGCAATAATATGGTCAGAGTCTTGCTCTTGGAGGCCTCATCTTTCCCCATACTTACCCAAAGTGTAGTATGACAAAAAGCCTCTAGAGACACAAACACGTTGGTAATCTTTGTGTATGTGGCCAATAGGTAACTGTCTATTTTGGCAAGCAGACAGCAACTCGGGAGCTGGCAAGGGACTGGAAGAGGGAGGACAGTGGAATCTGTTCTCAACTCCCTTGAGCCATGTTATTCATCCCTGAATGGGAAGATATAACTAAATGTCTTTGGTGTGGTTGTAAAGATGAAATCAAATGATAATTACATGCATTTGAGCACTTCCTAAATACCATCATGTGCTCTGCATTTGTGCATCTTCCTACCTAATCCTTGAAGGGGACAGAATTCTACTCCAGTTTAACAGATGAGGAAACTGAGGCTAAAGGATCAGGTAAAGCAACAGGTGTCAGGTCCCCTGCTAGAGAAAGCAAGCTAAGAACCAAGACCAAGTATATCTGACTGACTCCAAAGTTCTGTAAGAGGCTAGTAATTATACAAGAGCCCACTAAGGCATGGAGAACCAAGATCACCTCAAACTTTAGGTATTCAGAGTCTTTGCACAGTTCTGTCTGTAGTAGACTCTGGCTGTGCACATAGAGGAAGAAGGGCCTGAGCTCACACCTGAGATGAGGCCCCATGTCCTTCACTTGGGAATTTCCAGGCTGTTGCTGACTTGTACCCTGTGTCCTCACAGGGGGCCAGTGCTTGAACAGAGGTCCAAGCCGCACCTGCCGCTGCCGACCAGGATTCACAGGCACCCACTGTGAACTCCACATCAGCGACTGTGCCCGCAGCCCCTGTGCTCATGGGGGCACTTGCCATGATTTGGAGAATGGGCCCGTGTGCACCTGCCCTGCTGGCTTTTCTGGCAGGCGCTGCGAGGTGCGAATAACTAATGATGCCTGTGCCTCCAGGCCCTGCTTCAACGGTGCCACCTGCTACACTGGCCTCTCCCCGGACAACTTCGTCTGCAACTGCCCTTACGGCTTTGTGGGCAGCCGTTGCGAGTTCCCCGTGGGCTTGCCACCCAGTTTTCCCTGGGTTGCTGTCTCCCTGGGTGTGGGGCTGGTGGTGGTGCTGGTGTTGCTGGGCATGGTGGCAGTGGCTGTGCGGCAGCTGCGACTTCGCCGGCCAGATGATGGCAGCAGGGAGGCCATGAACAACTTGTCGGACTTCCAGAAGGACAACCTAATCCCTGCTTCCCAGCTCAAGAACACTAACCAGAAGAAGGAGCTGGAAGTGGACTGTGGCCTGGACAAGTCTAACTGTGGGAAACAGCAGAACCACACATTGGACTATAATCTGGCCCCAGGACCCCTGGGGCGGGGGACCGTGCCTGGGAAGCATCCTCACAGTGACAAGAGCTTGGGAGAGAAGGTGCCACTGCGGTTACACAGGTAAGCGGCACCTAGAAGCCAAGGACCTGACCATGGATTCTTACATAGTCTGACTGGGTCTCCCAGGCTGAATGGGAGGCTGGCATCAGGCCCTGGCCGCTTTAAACAAATGGGGTTGTGTTACTGACAAGAAGATGCTCCAACAGCATTTCTGTTATGGAGCCATGCATATGGCACACAATTACAATCCTAGCTGTTCAGGCTGAGACAGGAGGCTGGCAAGTTTGATGCCAACCTGGGTAACATAGCAAGACCATGTCTCAAAACAAATGGCTCAGTGGTTAAGAGCACTGACTGCTCTTGCAGAGGACCCAGGTTCGATTCCCAGCACCCACATGGTGGCTACGAACTGTCCTTAACTCCAGTTCTAGGGGAATTTAAAGCCCTCTTCTGACCTCCGTGGCATTGCAGGATACGGGTGCACTCTCATACATGCACACAATACACTCATACACATAAAATAAAAATAATAATTCTGGACCATTGAGATGGCTCAGAGTGTTAAAGGCGCTTGCTGCTAAGATTGAAGACCTGGGTTTGATCCCCCGAGCCACATACTAGAAGGAGAGAACAGACTTTACAAGTCATCCTCTGACCTAACACATATATGTGTCCTGACACATACATATGAAAAAACACACAAACAAATAAATGTAATACAAATTTTAAAATATTCTCCTACGGGTCTTTTACTAGGATACTAGGAAAGCCCCCTCATTCATTCATTCACTCATTCATTCATTCATTCCCTCCTCACTCTCAAATGTCAAGTGTCCAAGTGTATGCCCTGTGACTTCCATTTTCCACATCATGGCTTACCTTACTGATGATGCTAACTCTTTCTAGGCCTATGACTTCAGGTGTGGTTGGGTCCTATGGCTTTCTTAGGACCCGTTTTAACAAAAGGTCAGCACCGGGCACTTCCAGTCCATGTTTTTCCCTTGGACCACTGCTGTATATGCCCTTTAGCTCTCTGGCATCCAGGTTAGCACCCTGTACTATACCAAGCTCTTCCTCCTGTACTCCCTCACACTTACCAGCCTGTCTTATGTTCCCTCAGTGAAAAGCCAGAGTGTCGAATATCAGCGATATGCTCCCCCAGGGACTCCATGTACCAGTCAGTGTGTTTGATATCAGAAGAGAGGAATGAATGTGTCATTGCCACAGAGGTGAGTTCTAGGCTGGTCTTCCCTGCCAGCATGTCCTCTCCTGCCTTGTGTGGATGGGAAAGTGTCCTGATCACTTACAACTTCATGGGCCATTCCCGAAGGGTGGGTCAGAAATCTTTTCCTTGACAGGCCATGTTTGGTGGCTCTTGGGTCCCCTGCTGGCCATATTGCTACAGAGAGTATGAAACAGGGACCAGGTGGTATGCCTGACTTGGCAGCCCCAGCAATGAAGGGAACAGAGTCGGGGCTAGGCAGGACAGCCACAGTACCTAGCTATCTCTCAGGAACTATTTTCCAGTGGCTTTTGGATGAGGACAGTTGCTTTTTGCCTGCCTGCTCTTTCCCACTGACTTCCTTCACTGCACTTTCTCATTAGTGCACGTTCCTAGGCACTTGCATGCTTTAGGAAGTCTGAGGGGATTGTCCCTCACTCCTCAGCTTCTCACAGAGAGACCCAGAGCAGCCCAGGAGGCAATGCTCAGCCGTAAGTTAACCATTTTCCCATTTGCTCATGATCCTCAGGTATAAGGCACAAGCCTACCCAGACACCCAGCTTTGGCCCAGCAGCTGGGCCTTCCTTCTGCATTGTTTACATTGCATCCTGGATGGGACGTCTTTAATATGCACCGTGCTGCTCTCAGGAGGAAGAGGAGGAGGGAATGACATGAATTGGCCAGACTGTGAACCTGCCAAGAGATGGACCAGCTCTTTGGGAGCCTGCTTGGCCTCAGGCAGGCAGCCCCACCATTGAGGGAGCAGAGTTGAGGAGCTGTGGAAACGTCAGTTAAACTGATATCCAAGGTGCCACTTGGACTTGCTCTGCCAACCGTGGCCTTCATGGGGCTCTTGACTGTTCTCCAGAGAGCGGCAGTGGCCCCATTGGTCTTGGAGCTGCTGCAACCTCCATGGGCATCTGTGTTTCCAAAAGTGCCTTTGGTCCAGGCTCCATCATGACAGCTGGGCCCAGATCAGAAAAGAGAGAGGAGGCTTGCAATGGCGGGGCCTCTTGTAGGCAAGAAAGCCATTGGGTGTGGCTTTTGGCAGGAGCTGCCCTGTAGGTGAGGTGAGCACCAGAGGGGAGGGCAGTAACTGTCATTTCTGCCTCAGCATATGGGCCACTTAGCATCTCCTTAGCCTAGACCTTCTGGGCAAGAGTTGGTAGACCATCTATCACTAGCCCTGGTTGCCTCTGGGTTGTGTGAACAGATGGGCTCAGGGTCTGCCATTTCTGCCTGCCAGGGGCACCAGCCCTAACTGGAGAGCTCAGGGCAGTTATGAGTGAGGGAGAGATAGAGTGCTGCTGTAGCCCAGGCCCCTTTCTCCCTCAATCCCATTCCTATGCCCTTGAGCCTAGGCTCCACGTGTGCCCTCTACTGCCCCTAGACCACCCTTGAAGCCGATCTTCAGAAATCAATAATATGAAATGTTTTTTTTTGTAGTTTATTTTGGGATCTAGTATTTCGATAATTTAAGAATCAGAAGCACTGACCTTTCTACATTTTATAACGTTATTTTGTATATAATGTGTATTTATAATATGGAACAGATGTGTACAGGAGTTTACTACTTCTTGGATCCTGTGTCTGGGAATCTTCTCTCTGCCTTCCTACCCCAAAGAATTCGAAGCTCTTTCTCCTCTTACTGTGGAGCACCCCCACCGGAACCCCTGAGACCCAGCCTAGGCCAGCCTTCCATGCCTGGTGGCTCTGAGACTAGGTGCCATGTTCCACATTATGCTCCCAGCATTCCATGGGGGCATATTTCCCCTAACTAGAATCTTTTTCCTCTTTCCCCAAGCTTGAAGCAGCTATGGGTGCCTTAATTTTTTTCTTATTGAAAAGTATTCTCTTATCATTTATTCAAAAGGACTCTCTTATCCGAAAACGGGTTCTTTAAGTCCCCCACTGGGTACTTCCTCTTGCACTGGGACGTTTTAGGTGCACCCTGCTCTTTTCTTAGTCACAGTGGGGAACTAGTCTGGGATGGGGATGGGGGGTTGCCTTGGATTTGTCCTTCTTGCAGCTGGACAGAGAGATGGGGAGACTATAGGGAGGGGAGGAATCAGAGTCTGTGTTGCTCTGGTGGAGACACTAATGAGGGAATTTCCAGTCTACTCCATGCCCAGCTTCCTCTAAGGCACAGGATAGTCCCTAGGGTGCCAGTCTTCTCTCTGCAGCCACAAACACACCCCATGGTGAGCAAGTGATGAAAAAAATGATCAGTTGACAAAAAGCTGAGCAGATGCTCCCAGCTCTCAGCCTGTCCATAGTAAAGCAAAACAGGCCCACCAGATGCCTTGCTCCTAGTGGAGTCCAACTTTGTGGAGCAAACTTGCCCTCCTCTCCAAACCACCAGCCCTCGTTCCAGCATGGTGATCCTGAATCTGGGTGCTTATGTGAGTCTGAGGAGCATGCACACGTTCCATGCCTCGGTCATCACTCGCTGTTGCTCCACTGCACACACAGGGTATCAAACAGGAAAACATTCAGGGAACTGTTCCCACAGCCTGAGCCGGCAGCAGGGGGAAGAACAACACGACCTCACTCTTCCTGCCCAAAATGAAACAGGAAAGCGGCTCCTGGGCTCTGGGGGGCGGGGGAAACTGGGCTGGGACAGAAGGCTGAGATGACGAGGCTCCCATGTGGGGGACAGGTAGGATACCCGCAAGCCTGCACGTCCACACCACCGGGCTGTGCTAGGCTGCCAGACGGTCAGAGAAGAGCCCTGAAGGGACACAGGTTGTTGGCTCAACCCACTTACCACCTCTGATACCCTGAACCAGGAGCTGGGAGAGCATCCACATGTCACACTGGCTTTTTGGGGAAAAGTGGAAACTCATGCAAGGACTTGGTATGATATGCTTGTTCATGCTTCAGCTTACAGCCCATGCCAGGCTCCACCCCTAGCAATCCAGCAAAAGTGGGGGGCCCAGTTCACATTTGGGAGTGTGAACAGATTACAACTCTTCTCTCCCAGGATTTCCTGAGGGTTTTTCTTTGAGGGTGCAGGCCCTCCCCAGAGGTAAGGTATTTAAGGCTTTCTTGATCACTTGAGTGTCCAGGAGACATCCCCGACTTGGCATTGAAACAAGATTAGACTATATAGCTCTTAGCACTTCTCAGGTTAGCAAATGCTCATGTTTGCTCTCTTGAATTCAAAGCTTAGCAGATCCTCAGCAGCCTGGATCTAGAGTCTTGCGTAGAGAATCAGTCTGACCTTAAGGTGACCGTAGGCCCTGAGGACAGCTGCTTTTCCAGGCTTCTTGGCTGGTGACCACCTGGAGATCCCTGTGCTCTGGGAGGGGCTATGAAGAAGGGAGATGTGCCTTCATTGGCTTGCCCAGCCAGGGCTCCCTCTTCTGCCCCAGGGCCACAGTCCGACTGGTCTGGGGCAGATGAGGGTACAACCATTCCCACCTCCTTCCACTCAGGCTAGGTGAGGCTACAGGACTCAACCAGCAAAGTATGGGGTCCATCTCCGGCAGAGGCCCCACCGAGCCCTCCATAGGTTCCCTCCCCCGCTGCGGTCCC